AGTTCCACAGGTTGACTATTTGCTTTGTGAAGAACAACTTTCTGTTATTAGTTTGAAGCCTGCTACCCATTCATTTCATTTGGTGTCCTCTAGTCCTTCTATTATGGGAACTAATGAAGAACTTTTCTTGATGCACCCTCTCCACACCACTCGTGCTTTTAGAGACCTCTATCATATCCCCCCTCAGTCTCCTCTTTTCTAAGCTGAAAAGTCCCAGTCTCTTTAGCCTCTCTTCATATGGGACCTGTTCCAAACCCCTGATCATTTTAGTTGCCCTCCCTCTCCCACCCTCTCTCTTCCCCTCTCCCACCTCCTTTTCCCAGTCTCCCCAGAGGTTAATCCCCCCCTCCCCGAGTTTTGTTAAATAAAAAGAGTTTCTATTTTTGAACACACGTGTCCTTTATTTTGTACATCAGGAAGGGGGGGCTAGGAAGGGGTAAGTGGAAGGAGGTGAGGGAGGAATGGGGTACGAGCCCCCAATGGGGAGGACTGGGGTGGCTCTGCGGGCTCCTCGGGGTGGAAGCTCTCCTGCAGCCCCCCGATTGACCTCCCCCCGCCGGATGTCAGCCTGCGGCAAGTGCAGCCAGGCTGATGGCCGAGTGCTGTGATGTGCCCAGTGTGGGCACTCAGGGCACTCCAAGCCAGGACTGCTTTGCAAGCGGGGAACCCCTGAGAACTGTCTGTCTGGGGTGTGGGTCAGGTCCCTTTAAGCACAGCCCTTGGCTAGCCTGAGACAGCAGCTCCACGCTCTAAGTCCTCATCTGATGCCCTGCCGGCACTGCTTCTGGCCATCCTTAACCTGGATTCAGGGTCCACTCAATGTGGACATGCTAGTTTGAATTAGCAAAATGCTAATTCGAACTAGTTTTTAGGTCTAGATGCACTAGTTCCAATTAGCTTAGTTTGAATTAACTAATTCAAATTAAGTTAGTTCGAATTAGTGCTGTAGTGTAGACATACCCTTGGAGATTAGTATCTGATTTATACATCAACCAAACAAGCATTTAAGCATGTGGTTCGCTGGATTGGGACCTTATTAAAGCTCGATGGTTTTATTTTTTGTTTATTTTTTTAAACATTTACTTTGCTTAACATTCTAAAGGTTTCCACCAGGTTTGGCCCCATTTGCGCGAGATACTGTACAAACATGTAATAAATGACAGTTCCGTCCCCAAAAGGCTTATTGTTTAAAAGCAAAGATTAAATAACCAAGCAGGCTGGGAATGGAGATGGTACAGCACTTCGAATAGAATGTTCAGTCAATAGTATTGATGCAACATGAATAACTTGAGAGTAGCACTGAAATAGAAGGTATTATAGGAGGAACTGGTAGCAACACTTCCTATTCCAAGACTCTGTTTTCTTAGAATTTATAGCTCCTAGTGTGCCGACTGTGCATGCATCACCTTGCAGAACGACCAAGCATGCTCCAGGCAAGGGATAAGGTGGCTTTGAAAGAGTTTCCCTGTTATAGCTGGTGTAGGTTAGGTTTGGGATGAGCTCCAGAACTTACAACAGGGAGCTTCTCTCTCCTGTCTTCAATGACCCACACTCTCCTAGCACCCACACATGGAGGAGAAAGCTGCTTGACACCAATGAAGATGGGACAGACCAGGAGGAGGAAAAGGGATGGACTGGGACAAGGAGTCTGGTGAAATGGGAATGACGAAGCGGGAGATAAACTGACGGGGAGTTGAGGAGGGAGACTGTGACTGGCTGGGCAAGGAGACTGGATCTGGGAGGGAGGGGATACTGGGACTGGGTGTTCAGGGAGGCTGAGAGTCCTGGGAACCAGGTGGTTGAGAGGGGAGGCTGGGACTTTTCAGTTTAGAAAAGAGGAGACTGAGGGGGGATATGATAGAGGTCTATAAAATCATGAGTGGTGTGGAGAGGGCTGATAAAGAAAAGTTATTTATTAGTTCCCATAATAGAAGAACTAGAGGACACCAAATGAAATTAATGGGTAGCAGGTTTAATAATAAAAGGAAGTTCTTTTAAGTTCTTCTTCACACAGCGTGTTGTCAACCTGTGGAACTCCTTGCCAGAGGAGGCGGTGAAGGCTAGGACTATAACAGAGTTTAAAGAGAAGCTAGATAATTTCATGGAGGTTAGGTCCATAAAAGGCTATTAGCCAGGGGATAAAATGGTGTCCTTGGCCTCTGTTTGTCAGAGGCTGGAGAGGGATGGCAGGAGACAAATCGCTTGATCATTGTCTTCGGTCAACCCTCTCTGGGGTACCTGGTGCTGGCCACTGTCGGTAGACAGGATACTGGGCTAGATGGACCTTTGGTCTGACCCAGTACGGCCCTTCTTATGTTCTTATGTGGCTGAGATAGATTGGTTAAGAAGACAGGGACTAAGAATCAGAGTGGGAGCTTTGAAAAAAATAGTATGTGATCATGGAATTAAAGACTATCCTAATGCACAGGCACAGTGGGGAATATGTAAGATTGCACAGACAGCCATATATTTCCTAACTGTTCTTTTAACATATATTTCATGTAGAACGCCCCTCCCACACGCCCACACATAAATTAATCAGACTATTGATGTTTTAGCATTTCATTACCTGCCAATGCAACAACATTCAGTACTTTCTCAATATTTTTCTCCTTGTCTTCCAGGAGCGGCTCCCAATAAAGAGAAGCAGATAAAGAATTACAAACAAATGAAACATGAATAGATTGCACTTGTTGGCTGGCAGACTTGTTTCTTCCAAGCAGCTAATAAAAGCAATAAAAATATCTTCTGGAAAATGTTAGAAAGCTTAGGAAAGATGTAATTAAGTTTTGGTTGGGGATTTTTTTCTGGCAATTATCTTTCTAATCCTTTGGAAACAAATAACAAAAAATAATCTATTCCATCTTGTAATATGGAGCAATTAGAGGCCCAATTAGGTGAAGTACTGAGCGCTCTCAACTCTGCCATATCTAACAGAAGGCACCCAGAACGTCACAAGATTCAGACATGCACTGTCTGTTATTGAAGTGCTTCAGACAGTGCTGTGCATTTGTACGCAAAATTCAAAATGCCTGTCTTTACTGCTGTGAAATGAACTTGTCTTATGATTTAGAGAAATCTTTTCACTGACTTCATTGGCCTTTGGATCACTAGATGAGCCAATTTGGCATGATCAGTCTTGTTATACATGTGGCTGACTCTTACTGTTTCTCAGAAGACAACATCAGAGAACCTTCCACAAACAAAGGTAAAGGGCAGTGAGAAGAGGAAAGGAGGTCTCTAGTTAGTTCAGACCTTTGAGGGCAGTCACAGAAGTCATGGCGAATCCCTTTTAAAATCATGAACAGAAGGAGAAGAGGAGAGAGGCGATCCTGAAAAGATGTGAAAAATGGCAGCTTGTTTTCTCCAGCAGGGTAAACAGCACTTTAGATACATGGAGGCTTCATCTACACTGCAGGGTTTTTACAGAAGAAGCCTTTTGTACAAAAGTTTTTGCACAAAAACTTCTTGCGCAAAAACGCGTCCACACCTCAAAACGCATCACTTTTGTGATGTGCTTTTGTGCAAGAGAGCGTCTACACTATTGGACGCTCTCCCACATATAAAAGCCACCCAGAACCAGTTCTAGCCGGGCTAGAGGCCGCCAGTTACTTTTGAGTGCTGTTGCCGGAGCCCTCCAGAGACGCACGCTTAAAGGGACCCCCTGGGACAGCTGCTTCTCTGTCTCTGCTGCCTGCTTGCTAGCCTCTTTGGCAAAGCAAAGCTTCAGGAGCACTTGCTGTGTTTGCCCTTTGCTTTTTTGGGGACAACACAGCTTTTGCCTACTCTGTCCTGTGCTATGGATCTGGAGCTGCCCCTGGGCATGCGACAGACCCCCCAGGGCCATGCTGTACTCCCTGCAGCACCTCCTTCAAGCAGGGGTCCTCTTTCAGATGGAGGTGGACCCCGAGATATTCCTGATCAGCCTCTATGGGGTTGCAGATGCTCCACTCTGGCTGCCCAGCCCACCATACCCAGAAGATTCTGGAGGCTGGAAACCAGCTCGGGATGGTGGGACCAGCTGGTCATGGAGTGGTGGGATGACCAGAAATGGGTGCAGAACTTCCACATGTGGAAGGCCACCTTCCAGGAGTTCTGTGCCTGTCTGGCACCTGCCCTCCAACAACACGACACCCACCTGTGGCCCGCCATCCCACTGCAGAAGAGGGTTGCCATCGCACTGTGGAGGCTGGCCATCCCAGACAGCAACCGCTCAGTGACACACCAGTTTGGGGTGGGGAGGTCCATCATCGGGGACATCCTCATGCAGGTAAGGAGATCACAGCCCCTGCATGGGGGGAGGGGAGGTGTTGCATAAGGGGGACCCTCAGGACAGGGAGCAGGGCACTGTACGCAGTAGACTGGGGGTGGGGGAAAGCCTTGGCCCTGGGGGCTGGTGTCTTCTCGCCCTCACACTGGC